CTCTCTCTGAGACTCTGTCACTCACACTGCTCTCTCTGAGACTCTGTCACTCACACTGCTCTCTCTGCGACTCTGTCACTCACACTGCTCTCTCTGCGACTCTGCGTCACACACAAGGACAGGCACACTATGAGACCTGCATCCCGACCTGCGCAGCTCAGATTGGGGGAGGGGGGATAAATCCACAGGGATGCAAATCTGTGCTGGAGGTCATTAGATCAGGGAAGAAAAGGGAATAACAGGGAATGACAGGGAATAATTCCACAAGGAGAAGGAAATGCAGCCAGATTTGTATTGATCCACGTCCTGTACTGATCAAATGCCAACATGAGGAATGGGTGGGCTTTTAAGGATAGAGCTGCCGATGTTATACAACAAAATTGCCATGCTCACTCTGGCCAGACCCCCAGAGCAGAACCTCCCCAGGCCGGATCCCCAGGGCTGACCTTCCCCAGGTCGGACCCCCCCAGGGTTGAACCCTCCCATACTGGATCCCCCCAGGACTGAACCCCCACAGGCCAGCCCCCCGGGGCTTACCCCTGAGATAGAACCCCCAAGGCCAGAACCCCAGGGCAAAAAATACCCAGGCCGCCCCCCCCAGAGCTGAACCCCCCAGGGCAGACCTCCCCCAGGCCGGACCCCCCAGGACAGATCCCTGCACATTACCTTCTGCTCTATTTGCAATTATATGCTGCTTTCAGGCTCACAGGGGCCTGCATTTCCCAGTAACCCAGCCACAGTGTGAAGGCCCGGAACCTGCCGGAAAGCGGGCCTGCCGGCACCGTAAATACAACAAAGAGGCCATGAAGCAGGTTTGGTTTAGGATCTATCTGTTCTGGCATGCATGGCCCATGTGAGGAGGGGCTGCTCTGAGCCCCCGCATCGCCCCAGCACCTTGCTCCCCCCGTCCTTTCAGCTCCCCCCACCCGCCACCCCCGCTACATTCACTCGGAACCCCGTCTTCCATCATCTCCTAACGAAAGTAACGACGGAAAAGCAGCAACACGCTGCAATTTCATGGTCAATTTGCGGTGCATAAATAACGCCATTTCCACGGCGGCGGGGGCTGCAGAACCCCCCTTCATCTCACGCTCATGACGATGTAAATCAATTAATGCCAATAAGAGGCAGCAGAGCCTGCACATTCAAACGAGCTGTTTAAACAAACAATTCCTCTCTTCACTCCCTCCTCTCTCTGCTTTCCACTCCTCCCCTCTTCTCCTCCCCGGTCCTCTCTTCTTCCCTCCCCTTCCTCTCTTCTCCTGTCACTCCTCCTCCCCTGCTCCTCTCTTCTCTCCCTTCCCGGAAAAGGGACCTGAGATGGGAGAGGGATGCAGGGTGTGGGAGGGAGGTGGGGCGTCTCTTACTGCTACTGGGGATGAGGTCCCGCTCCGGGATGAAGAGCTTGTAGCCGTAATGCTTCTCCAGCACGTCCGGAAGGACCTCCAGAGCAAACTGCTCCTCGTCACTGGGAGAGCGGCCCAGCGCCTCCAGGTCCACCTTGGTGTAGGACAGGTAGCCGTCGTACTCTTTGTTATCTGTCAGACACACAGAGGCCATGTCATTCCTGCACAGTGGACTGCACGCATCACTTCCTGTTTCTCTAA